TACACCAAAACTTCACACTGAAACAAGACCGTGTCTACACCAAAACTTCACACTGAAACAAGACCTTGTCTACACCAAAACTTCACACCATTTTGCTCCTCCCAGAGTGTGTTTACTAATAATTTACCGACACCGTCCGTTAACAAGTCAATGTTTGTCTCCTCAGCTAACACCGGGGACTAATTAATAGAACGGACTCTAGACCAATCAACAAATAAAAAGCACACCATTACTCTACTAGAAGTACTGCTCTCCCCGTCGAGTATGGCAAGAGAATGGTCACCCTGATTGTTGATCAATCACTTTCTGTAGGATATTCTACCAGCCACAGTAAACAATTTGTTCAATTAACCAGCATGGCAGCCACGACGTCAACTTGCTAGATTTATTGGAATTTACAGGAAGAGTGGTTGTAATTCAGACGAGTCAGGTTTTAGTAAAATCAGGACGATAACAGGTCAGGGTGTCTGGATCTATAACTTGTCTGATAGAGAGAGAGAGAGAGAGAGAGAGAGAGAGAGAGAGGGGGGAGGGGAGTAACTTATGATACAATTGTATTTCAATAGCTCACCGGTGCGTAGGGGCCTTAAGCAGTTGGGGGTTTGGGGTGGGGGTTTGGGGGGGGGGGGGTCAGAGGACCCACGAGATTGGACAAGAATAATAATGAGATGGAAACCACACCACTTGACTCTATGACAGACCTTATGATCTAAAGTGCATAATTTAGACCGTTTGACCCCCTTCTCCACCCCCTCCCCCGGAAGTTTTGTGACGTGTGTCCGGATCTATTATCTTGTCTTGACTTAACTTTTTTTTCATTTTAAAAAGATTTTTTTTTTTTAATTTTTAAAAAGATTTTTTTTTTAAATTTTAAAAGATTATTTTTTTTTATTTTGTAAAAAAAAAAAAAAAAAAATGTTTCTTTTTTTTTTTTTTTTGTACTAATATTTTTATTATTTTAAATGAAATACCAAAAATAACCCAAAAAACGCTATTGCCACCATGGGCCACCATACACCTTCGACCAATTTCTAAATTTGACTGTTTATTAAAGGAAAGTCGCGAATGTTCACCGCTTGCGTCCAAACGTATAAACCCCGGATAGACTTTCACCCACTCACCCACCTGTCAATCCGCGCTGAAAGAGTCAGAAAATATTGACAAATTTCCGTTCATGATTGAAGATTAACGAACCGACATTTAAACAGGTATAATTCAAGCGCTAAATCTGCCTATTGCAGGTCTTTCTTTAGGCCTGAAATGTTTTCTAGATTTTTAATTAGACATTTATTAACTTATCCAGTCTTATTACCAACTAGAAATCAGCCAGATTTCTTCAAGTTTGGGAATGTGACCTCAAAGATTTGTTGAAGAGAATCTTGTCATCATCCTCTCAAAGACAATAAATTGTAGCCCAATTATTATCTATTCAGATGGTGTATTGTATAAGTGTCATATTACACTGCTCTATATTTAGAATGTAAAACTAAAGCTAGATGGGTTTGGAATCAGATTCTATGAAATTTGAATAAGAGAATAAGAAAAACTAATCAAATTAAACACAGAAATAAACATTATATATATAAGCAGGATGTAATTTAGATAAGAAAGATATGATATCATATCCCTAGCCATAAATAAATATTTCCATGTAAATTTCCACATCAAGAACTCGTAGTATTATTCTTACAATTTCTCGTACAATAGGGGCCACAAGGCAAGAAGTTAGGCCCGATATACGCGAACATCAAACCGAGATCTTTGATACATAAACATATAATATTAAGTTTTTTTCAAAACCGGATACAAATCGTTAGAGGGACCACAGCCTTCGATCCGATTATCACAAAATTCAAACCCAGGGTGTAACGGTGTATATTTAAACGGTTTTTAAAATCGGGTATAAACTGTAATTTTTGGTACACCCAGGGTCCATAATCTAGGAGGTTACGGACCGAATATGGAAAGAAACAAAAATCCGTGGAATATAGACATATATTTTAAGTTTGATCAAAATTGGATAAAAAGAATTGTGACTTCTACAGTGTCCACAACCTTGGTATTATATACTTTTATACTATTTGTGAACGAGAAGCGGGCAGTTTCAATCCGATTTTCATGAAATTTGAACTCAACCATCATAAGGGTGGAATGGTGTCCACAAATAAATTGTGGGCTGACAGGGGCGACTCAATACACGCCCACTTGAAAATATGGGCGTACAAAAATAGCTCAGCATGATAAAACTTGGTTTTTGGAAGACTAAACAACTGATATCAAAGACTTTATATGAAATGAGATTTTTATTTTAGAAATTAAAATGTTAAGTTATTTGATACTCCCACTGGCCGGTTAATAGTTGGCAACGCTTATGTAATTTATATTAGGGCAATGCTACTCAAGACGGACATGTTGTTTAGATCAGCATACCAAGCAATTAAAATCAGTGAACCGGACCAAACCCAAACATCCAAAATTTAGCACTTTTTCCTAGATAGTCCCAGCACTGTATCTAGGCCATAATATGTTGTTAAATACTTAGTTAAGTATACAAGAGCTAAATCTGCCTATTGCAGGTCTTTCTTTAGGCCTGAAATTTTATATAAATTATTAATTAGACATTTATTAACATATCCAGACCATATAAGATGGCTTCGATTTTAAGTAGATTAGAACAGTTCTGCCATTTAATGATTTAATTTACCCAGCTTCACTTTACGCAGCAGAACAGTAGGAAGTTAAACCACATTTTTATTTTATTGCCAATGTTTTAGTTTTTTCTCCCAACACTCGCGAAATCAAATTAAACGACCGTGAACATCGAATAAGGAGAAATCCATTTTTAGAATAAAACATAAAAAAAAATGCCGAGGCCAGACAAATTGTAATTTTATGAATGTAAAAGACGATAGAATACTGGCTTATACGGTCTTCTTACTCATCAAAATGGACCTTCAATCATTTCTGGTGTCAGGCTGCTAGGTTTTATTAAGTAAATATTAAAGAAAGTCTTGACACAGAATGATGCAATATAATTAGGCAGTCGAATATATCACTCAGCCCTTATAGTCCAACTGATAATATTTGAGTCAATGTCTTTTGCCCCCCCCCCCCCAATGAATCACAATGGTATGGTTGCAAGAGTTCGCGGAACAGGAATCAAGTAAGCTTTCTTTATATAGAGAGAGAAATGAGGTTTAACGCCCACTCGACACAAAGTAGGTCATTTCGGACTAACATATGTTTTAATTTTATTTCAATAATTAGTTTGCGTGTAGGGGTCTTTAGCAGTGGGAGGAAACCGGAGGACCCGGAGAAAACCCACGAGGTTGGACAGGCGACCCTGTATACTCCTTGTTACGTACAACCGGGGAATCGAAACCCCGCCAATTGACTCAATGACAGACCGTATGATACAGCGCGCACGTGCTAACCATTCGGCCATCCAACCCCCAGCGTTCTTTATAACCCAAAATACAGTGAGGTGTTTTTTAATGCGAGGATAAACTGGAAAACCATACAGCTCCGGTTTATGGAGGTCCACAGTTGCTAAGGGCTGGTGTACCATGTTCCTGGGGCAACCACCGCTAGTTTTACAACATCTATGAACGGAGTTAAAGTGAGATCAAAGCCTTCTATTGAAGATGACATAGCACATGTATATATAAATAGTTGTACATTGATGAGCCACGGTTATTATTCCCCTCCGCGCCAAAAAACAAAACATTTTTGTCTCGCAACTCAACAATCGACCATATTCCTGAAGCAATGGCCCAAGAAACAAACTATATAATCAAGCGAAACACTGCGAGGAGTATGCAATCGACTAACTATCGTAAATATTCTATTAAATTATTTATTTTTTATTATTATTATTTATGGTGGCTATCGAACAGCTTTTAGCTGGATTTTGGACCACATTTAAATGAAAAAATTATTATCATTAAATTATTATAGCATATGCATATATAAGTAGAATAATTCTTTATGTAACTGGACCCTGTTTCTCGAAATCTTAACTAAAGATTAAATCCAAATTTTAGTAGATACTTCAATTTTAATTGGCTAAGCACTAAAATCAATCTAATATTTAATCAAATTACTAAAACTTGGATTTTATCTTAGTTAAAATTTCGTGAAACAGGCCCCTGGTCGACGTTTCGAATACTATTCTCCCAATTAACACAAGGTAGAATTTTATTGATATAAAATTATTATGCAATGTTTTATCAAGGATACTCTGGTGTTAATTTACTAAATGATCTATCAATTATCTTATTCTCTAAGTGTTTTAAGGCACGTGTAAACGCTTCGAAATGTCACTCAAAAATAAACGTGTTTCTTTCTTCCATAGGCATGCGTTGTACACTTTTGCTATAAGAGTCGCGGTGACTCAGTGATAACCGGGGTCTATCCCGATGTTGGCTGAGAAAGATTTCCGCTATAAGGGGAAACAATTGTCCTTGTGGTGTATGCCCGTCTTCAATAGCAGTCAAGTCGACGTTATACCCCATTTAGTTTTATTTGTGTGAGATTTTGGGATTGGACGTTAAACACCATCTCGTTTCAGTTACTAAAAGAATATAAATATGAAAATAAGGTATGAATACACAATCTGGTTCATTGGTCTGGTAATCACAGTTTCCAACAATTTCAATTTTTTAATGTGATGAATTTCACTTTTTTAATGTGATAAATTGTATTTGATTGTTATTTTTGTTGCGTATTCTGTATAATTTGTCTACTATTCACATATATTGGCTAATACCACACATCATCAAGAACGCGGATTCCAGATCCAAGTGTAGTAAAGACAAGTAAAACGAAATTTTGAACTATAAAAACGAAACGAAATATGACCTGAGTTTTAATCACCATTACTACATTTGCTAGATAAAGACGACCGTATCCACATCGAAACGTTGTTTAGTATTAAAGTCAGTCATTATGTATTAATATTAAAGTCAGTAATTATGTATGATTATAAATATTCTACATACCTTTTTATCCGTGTTATTGCGAGCAAACATCCAATCTGATCCAATCTAGTCAGTGAGAAGAACCAGATCTAAGCCAATACCAAGTGAAATCAGTGATCAAGTAGCTAGGGTTATTGGGAATATTGGCTTCGTATAATACAAGTAACTATCCTATTTACAGACTCTGATTCTCTCTGAGTTGGTTTTACTTGTGGCTGCAGTGATCAGACAGCCCGCTAAATATACCTCCATTCATAAACATCATAAAATCAATAAGGGAGTGAAGAGACTTGAAAATGAAAAGTTTTATATTAGTTTGATGGGGAATCTAGCCACCGCGGGGCTAGATGGAAACGAAATTACCAAATTTAAAACTGTAATAGCGTCTATGTTTTTTATGGAGTAGTTAATGATATGAAATGGAGTTTAACGTCCCATTGTTCTGCCACACAGTGTGCTTTTGAGTGAAATTTTGCCCGGAAGTCGGCAATACGACTTACTCTTCTATCGAATTGAAATTGCTATGGCTTCCTTTATGGAGTAGAAATTGAACCCCTTAGTTTGTTGGGAATCTGGTTAGTGCTAAATGATAAGGCCAGTTCAATTTTCGTAATAGATCACGGGATGTAAACAGGGCTAGCGCTAATCCCAACCCTAATTCTAACCCGAACCTAGCACCAATGCTTACCCTAACCTTAACCTACAATCTCACAAACAATCACGTGCCCTAACCCTATTTACATCTCCACGGTCTTGACAAACAAAAATTGAGTTGGCCTTAACAAATAGACTTAGCCATGGGAATAAACTAAATATGAAAAGATTTAAAACGTTATTAGCGCCTGTGCCCTTATGGAGTTAGTTTGACGGATGTAACTCGATCTACCGCGGGGCTAGATGAAAATGAAATATAAAAATTTATGGAGAAGAAATTACAGCTCTTAGCTTGATGGGAATATACTAACCTCGGGACTAAATAGAAATCAAACAACACAATTTAAAACGGTATTAGATTATTATGCCTTAATAAGGGCGGATCCAGGAATTTTTGCAGGAGGGGGTTTGCCACGTTCCTGAGACAATGTATCTTTCGCGGGGGAGCTCTCCCCCCCCCCCCCGCGCGGCCTTGAAAATATTTTGAGAAATAGACGGTCTCTATCGCTATTTTGGTGTATATATAATATTATACACACTGAGCTTTTTAGAGAGAGAAAACCGACACCTCGTTTGTTCGTTTGACGTCAAATTTTATTATAAATTTATACGATGACATTGTGATACAATTTCTTTGAAGCAACCGTCTTCATTAGCCCAGTTTAGGAGCAGAACAGTAGGACGTTAAAACCCATTTCATTTCATTGCATTGAATCAAAGCATTAATTGTGATATCACATAATAATGATATCACATATATCATTATCACACGCTTTAAATGTCCATCCCATCCCACCATTTCATGATAAAGGATAAAGCACAAGACCGTGCCACTGTTCTTATAAAAAAGTGTATAAAAAGTGTTGTTTTACTAATTGTTTTATGTAGCTACAGCCACGATTAGTGAGCCACAACGACTCAAGCACAACAGAGAGAGAGAGAGAGAGAGAGAGAGAGAGAGAGAGAGAGAGATGGGGTTTAACATCCACACGACACAAACTAGGTCATTTCGGTACTAACATATGGTTTAATTTTATTTCAATAATTCGCTTGCGCGTAGGGGTCTTTAGCAGTGGTAGGAAACCGAAGGACCCGGATAAAACTCACGAGGTTGGACAGGCGACCCTACGTACAGCCGGGGAATCGAAACCACGCCAGTTGACTCAATGACAGACTTTATGATGCAGCGCGGCCTGACAAGGACAGCTGTCTAGTCCTTCGGATGAGACGAAAAACCGAGGTCCCGTGTATACATTGGAATGCACGTAAAAGATTCCTTGGCAGTTGGAATTCGATATAAGAGTAGGCGATAGTGCCGCTCCCCGGGATAATTTCCCTCATAGCACACTGTATGGCGTATGCCCGGCTTCATTAGCCCAGTATAGGAGCACAACAGTAGGACGTTAAACCCCATTTCATTTCATGTATGATGCAGTGCGCACACGCTAACCATTCAGCCATCCACCCCCCCCCCCCCACCCCGAGTCCACTAGGCTTTTATAAAAAGCTGATTGAGACCCGACAGAGATCAGGGTTATCGTACTGTGATGACTTTTAATTTTTTATTGTCAACCAATTGCCTAGGGCATAAAATTGTTTTCTTAAACTACAAACCCCCCACATTTGATGAAGTTCGCAAAATAATATACCACGCTTATAACCATAATGCTATTAGTCAATGCAGTTTAAGGGGAAAGTACCCGGGTTTAACTAAAACAGGATTCAGACCACCTAAGCTTTTCTATTTTCCCGGGTCAATTTTTGGTGGACTTAGCGCCACCCCGTTCAATCTCAAAACATCATCTGGCAATGTCGTGCTCTTGGACGTTAGGAAAAGAAACTAACAAAATAACAGAAATGAAATGAAATGAAATGCAATGAAGTTTAACGTCCTACTGTTCTGCTCCGACTGGGCTAATGAAGACGAACATACGCCATACTCCGTGCAATGGGGGAAATTTTGCCCGGGAAGAGGCAGTATGGCCTACACTTTACGTGCACATCAATGTATAAACCGAACCTCGGTTTTTCGTCCCATCCGAACGACTAGACAGCTGTCCTTGTCAGGCCCCCTTCCCCGTCCTGCACCTCTGACAACCTCGTGGGTTTTCTCCGGGTCCTCCGGTTTTCTCCCACATTTAAAGACCCCTACACTCAAGCGAATTATAAAAAAAAATGAACATGGGAGAGCGTGCGGTGTGTATGGGGTGGTGCGTGTGGTATGTATGGGAAGGGCATGCGTATGGGAAGGGGGGTATGTATGGGGAGGGGCGTGTGGTATTTATAGGGCGGAGAGTGTTGTGTGTATGGGGAGGGGTGTGTGGTATGTTTGGGTAGGGGCGTGTTGTATGTATGGGGAGGGGTGTGTCGTATTGTCGTATATATGGGAGGATGTGGTATGTATGGGGAGGGGCGTGTGGTGTGTATTGGACGGGGTGTGTGGTATGTATGGGAAGGGGTGTTTGGTGTCTGGATGCGTTGTCAGTATTTGAGAATAACAGGTCATTGGCTAGATTATCCGATCTTTTACATTATCATAAACAAAGTCTAGGGAGGTAACTCGTCCTAAAACAAGATGACGCCAATTAATTTAAGCATGCCATTTCAGAAAATCCATTTGATCGCATTGCAAGTTCAATATCCAACACTCTTAATTTTTTTTATCGTAAAATTTCTCTCTTCATGGGTCATATCTTCATGTTTGTTTAGAATAATGCAATAATTATGGGATTTATTGCTTGAAAGGGCGCAACTCTTACTTGACTTGCTGCAAAGATACTGGATAATCAACCACATAAAAACCAAACTCTCGGTTACACTTGGGCAATGGAACTTTTCATCAAATATTGACAACGGTCCCAGATCGCCCGCCTGTTGAAGACTAGGAGGTTCTGGGTGAACGAGACTAAATTTCTTTAGATATTATATGGTATAGGTTTTTACACAGATGTCGGTGGGATCGATCAGGTTTGGTGTAACATGTGGCATATTAATGACTAGTTTATTCCACGTTTATTATACACGTATTGTGGCCTACCAGCATACTATTATTATATAGCCATGCATATCGAATACTTTTAATAGATGTTTTTAAGACTGCGCAAAGAAAATCACGGTAATGGTTTATTCAAGCGTTTTGATTGGCTAAAAAGGTAATAGTTTACTTCACGCGACAGTCTCGGTAATGGCGACAAAACAGTCTGAGTAATAGTTTACTGGAAGTCACCACTGTGCTCGATAACGATAAGAGGATACTTATCGAAACGTTGTGCTTGTGTATAATAAACCAGTGATTGTTTTCCCATATGACTGTATTAGTTCTGTAATGTTTCCAGTCGCTAAACGCCACTAAAGGATTTTTTATTTTGCAAGAAGCTAACCTGAAACAGTATAAAAGGTAGGCCAGGTTGAAATTATATATGGGTATTTGGGATGGCCTAGTGGTCTAGAGTGTCGCGCTTTGAGCTGTAGCTGGCCGGTCACCCCGGTTGTGGTTTCGATCCCTGATGTGAGCATATGTGGCTTGGCGATAGGGGGCGCCTTCTAAACCCTGTGGGGTTAACACGTCAACCATTTTTCTTTAATAGAAACATATTATAAATAACTTTGATAATTGTGTTTAACGTTAAAGAGTGTATTGAACTCATACAAAATTAATAGATTAATTACCGCCGAACGATGATATGAAAAATCGTGTTGGGTTTCTTTATATATAGAGAGAGAAATGTGGTTTAACGTCCACTCGACACAAACTAGGTTATTTCGGGACTAACACATGGTTCAATTTTAATTCAATAATTCGCTTGCGCGTAGGGGATCTTTAGCAGTTGGAACAAACCAGAGGACTCGGAGAAAACCCTTGATGTCGGTCAGGCGACCCTACTTCTTGTCACGTACGACCGAGGAATCGAAACCACGCCACTTGAGTCAATGACAGACCTTATGATACAGCGTGCACACGCTAACCATTCGGCCATCCATCCACACCCCCCACCCCCCACCCCCGACCCAGGGTTTATTTATAGAGGCAATGTGTTAGGTAACTGGAAATGTAAAATGTCTCTATGGGGCAATTTTAGAAAAATATCAAATTTTCCATGGCCTAATCCACGCTAAATTGTACTTAAACATACATTATTCAAGAGGTAAATCTGCCTATTGCACATCTTTCTTTAGGTCTGAAATTTTATATAAATTATTAATCAGAAATTCATTAACATGAAAATACCTTAATCAATTTTCGAAGCCATTTTAATGTGTTGGCTTTTCACTGGATTGGAATCCGATCTGCTGCTGAACGCTCATTGATGATTAAATGCAACACTGGATAATCGAGACTGGGTTTTTTATCGTGACGACTTAAGTATTGATGATCGAGGCTAGGCCTAAGATTCAATTGCTAATATCTCGGTTAAGAGTGGATCAATTTGAATGAAATTGTCAGCATATTCCCTGTAAATTATCTGTTTTGTAACTATTATAGTGAGAACTGTCAGCTCTTGACCTAATCTTCCATAACGTATCTTTAAACTGACTAGTTAACATGTGATTCAGAAAATAAAATTGATAATTCTTTTTCTTATTGAAGCCATTTCATGTGAGTGTTGCGAGTGGACATATCACCTCGGTGGAAGCGGACGTAAAATACAACTAACTAACAACAACTTATCTTAACAGAATGTCCAAGAAAAAATGGCCATTACTGCTCTTGTTTTCATTTATTGTGTGGCTTCTCTATAAATTATCTGGTAAGCCAATTAATAATTCTAATTTAGAAAGTTTAAAACTGTTTCTCGCTAGCCTGGAGGTCGCGCGTTCGATCCCTGGATTGGCCGAGAAAGTTCATCCAGATTTTCCGGCGTGGTCCCCCTTGTTAGTGATGCAGGACAGAGGGCCTGACAAGGACAGCTGTCTATTCGTTCGGATGGGACAAAAAAAACGAGGTCCTGCGTACACATTGGCATGCACGTAAAAGATCTCTTGATATTTGGAATTCGATATAAGAGTAGGCCGTAGTGCCGCTGTCCGGGGAAAATTTCCCTATTAGCACACTGTATGGCGTATGCCCGCCTTCATTATCCCAGTTGGGAGCAGAAAAGTAGGACGTTAAACCCCATTTCATTTTATTTCATTTTTTTATGTTTTAGATGTTAAAACAGGACACCAGAATGAGAATCCTGAAGTCAACAGTAGATATTTTGGTAAGTAGATCGCTAGGCCTATATATTCCTATAGTTACGGTAGGCTTATGTTATTGCTATATTATTTGGGAGCCACCGCGGACCAGTGAGTACGACATTGGCTCGCTAACAAGGAGATCCATGGTCAGGTGGAATTCCAAATAAGAATAGGCCCTTGCGCCGTTTTCTGGGCGACATTTTTGCAACAACCGAGGTAATGGAGATGGGAATGACAGTGCATTATGAGGAGAATTGTGCGGCGTCAACGTTTCGTTACATCTTGACAGCCCCTCCCCACCCTGTATCCCCGACGGGGTGAAAGAACCCTGGAGTATCCCGAGGATATTGTCAGGGGATCTTTTACGTGCACGCCAATATATACACAGGACCTCGGTTTTTTGTCCCACCCGAACGACTAGACAGCTGTCCTTGTCAGGTTCCTCCGACCTGCACCACTGACAAGAGAAACCCACGTGGGAAAATCTCTTAAATAATTACTGTGTTTAACAAGTGTCAAAAATACGTGTTTATTTCTTGTTTTACAGAAACTGATGAAAAGTTTGTTAATTTGAAAGATAAAGTGAAAATATTGTGTTGGATTATGACTATACCTGAAAATTTACCAACAAGAGCTACTTCCGTGAAGGAAACCTGGGCTCCACACTGTAATAAATATATGTTCGTCAGTGGTGTTGGTAACAAGACATTCCCTGTAGTGGAACTAAATATCATTGAAGGAAGATATCACCTTACCAACAAAACATACACTAGTCTTTTATATCTATATCGACATCACGGACGGGAATACGACTGGTTTTTGAAAGCAGATGACGATACATATATAATTGTAGAAAATTTACGATATATGCTCAACTCCTTTGATCCAAAAAGCCCGCTGTTCATTGGAAGAAAGTTTAAAACGGTTGTCCCCAATGGCTACATGAGCGGTGGAGCTGGGTATGTTCTCAGCAGACGAGCCTTGGAGTTAATAGTGACGAAAGGCGTCCATAATAAAACTTTATGTCCTATTTGGTCGATGGAGGATGTGGATATAGGCAGATGTGCAACAAATGTGGGCGTCAGTCACGTGGATTCCTCAGCAGATGTATATGGAAAACAACGGTTTCATCCTATATATCTGAGTGAATATTTCAAACCTCATTTTGATACGTTTATGTTTATATATTCTCTTGCTAAAGTCAAAAGTGTGAGTGTTGTTTTTAACACCCCTCTCCCCCCCCCCACCCAAAAAAAACAACCCCACTCCCCCTCCCCTCCCCTCCCACACACACACCCCACCCTCCCCCAAATAATAAAAGTTAAATCCCGGGTAGTCTCTATCACCCAGAAAAATATTTTACGAATGTATTAGACTTTGTTTATGATAATGGAAAAAGCCGGATTAATCTAGCCAAAGATAGGGTGACCCGTGCACCAAAAATTGTCCGTACAGAAAGTTGGTCTCGACACGGCGAATGTACACGCTTCAGTGGCTTGTCTCGAAGTGATTTCTCGCTTACTACGCAGTTTGATAATACTCAGCGGTAGAGTCTATGAGACTATAAATAGCCGTAAAAAAATGAATAGCAGTTATATTTAGTCTATTGGTTAATACAGCAGTTTTAGAAATTACGTTCGTTTTATTTTTTAAATTGCTTTATCATTAACTGTATCTCTGAAATACTTGCGTTGGGCAAGAACATGATATTAGCAGTAGTTTCATTTTACTTTTACAAGGTTCTTAAAACAGTTGTTGAGTTGCCCAACGTGCGTGTTTCTAAATTCAATTTCTTGTTCCAGCTTTCTGTCATGTTTCGTAAAAAGTAGTCTTGATTATCCCAGCCTGTCAATCAAACGTAGAATGGTCGGTAGATTGGTTAAGCGAGACTACTTTCAAAACAAGGGCACGTAACCTATATTTTACTCACATGTGCTTGGATGTTATGGCCAACACTCGTAACCATCTTTCAGTGTAGTATTTATGGATGATTAAATGGTCATAGCTTATTAAGTACAACGTGACCGTTTATTTAGTGACTATAAATATGCGAAACTGATTTAAGGTTTGGTGTATATATAAATATTGTGGTGTAATTGTCGAGATATTTGGAGATATTTATTTATGGTGGGACAACCTACCAAAGAACTATTACTCCCAAATGTTGACAGCGCACCCAGATTAATATTCGTAGAATATTTTCCTGGATGATAGAGCCTATGACTTCTACCGCTGTGCAACGCTCTAAACAACAAAAATGCCAAGTTTTATATCGACCGTAATCGAATTGCTGACGCCTCATCAGGCTTCAAGAACAGGACGACGAATAAGTGTGGAAACAATTCCTGATCCTGCTTCAGAAAGAAATTAAAATATATTTACTTTTGTTTTTTGCAGGGAACAGAATGCTGCAGTAATTTAACGATTAGTATGCATAGCGTGAAACCGGAACAAATGTATATGATACATTTTCTCTTGTATCACATGGAAGTACACGGAGAAGTTTCAAAATGGCCTAAACAATTTCCGGTATCGTAATCAAACTGCTTCAGTATGTGTGTTAGTGCACGAGAGAATATAAAGTAATTTATGTACTGTGTAAACTTTCATATATACTCTTCCAAAAAAAGTAGGGGATATTGAAATGCAAATATCTATGCAGGTTGTGATATGATATTCATGGACACTTGACATGCTTTGAGAGTATGTTCACAGATGAAGAACTTATCGCCCCAACCGAACCACTGAGCTGCACATGCGACACGCAATAGCGCCGTACACGTGGGAGGGGTTCATTGTCAAATTTGACACTTCAAGGAAGAGTTGATGAACACTGCCGCGTGTTGGTTTATCTATCCATGCTTGCTTTCCTATCGGTTTTTGCACAGGATTTACTGTTTAGCGTATCTTTGCTTTAGTGTGTTACATTTAATCTGATCGGGAGACGTTTTCATCAACGTCAACGTCAACCGACAACGCTGCATGATTTTCCCGTGACACTGCAAGGGGAGTGGGTCAGATTGCCCCAAATCGTGATTGGGCGGTTGATTAGGAGCATGCCACAATTGGTGGAGCAATTTCTCATTATTAAGACAAAAATCAAAAACGTCCATTTTCACTTTTGACGGTCTATCTCTTTGCGAGTGAAATGGGGCCGTCAGATAAGCCGCCCATATGAACTGTTTTTACACTGGTTTTACCTCTAATAAAAACAGCAGTGCATTCCGCAGTTTTGTATTGTTTCTGAATATCCCCTTATTTTTTTTTGAAGAGTATATTTCAAACGGATTTCTTCGATTATGAATAAACTACTTAATTATGGTTACTTAAAACTTGCCTATTTTGGTGAGTACGTGAATGAACCTTTGATAAGAGTTAACGCCCCGCAAATCACACTGCACATAAAGGTAGACCAGTCCTATAAAATGCACCCCATGCCTGGTTGAATCATTCACACTACAACTCACGACAGCTCAGAGAAACCAGGCGCTTGGAAGACTCGACGCTGGCCACACTGACGAAGCCGTTGCCAATCACTTCCCGGTCAATGTTCGGACCATCTACAGGCTTCAGAAACGCTTTCTGGCCACCAACACCACGGATGATTGCCCCCGAACTGGTAGACCAAGGGTTACAACAAGGCGACAGCACGTGCAGAATCCCTTCACACAGGCATTGGAGACAGCACGTCAGACAGTGGGAAGACACGGAAGATCCATCAGTACCAATACAGTGCGCCGACGTATCACCAGAGAGAACATCCATTGCCGTAGACCTTACCGTGGACCGATCCTCACCCCTCGCCATCGACGTGAACGTCTACAGTTTGCCCAACAACACCAGAACTGGCGACACAGGCAATAGAGAACTGTTCTGTTCACAGATGAGAGTTGGTATCGCGTTGACGTGGCCAGCGTTATTCTGACCAATGTGTCATCGAACGAGACTCATGGGGAGGTCCAAGCATAATGGTTTGGGGTGGAATCGGCCTGAACAAGAGAGTGGGTCCTGAGGTGTTCCAAAATCTTGGTCCAGGGGGAGGAGGCGGCATCACAGCAGTGCGCTACATCGATCAAGCTCTCAGACCCCACGTCATACCACATTTCGCACGTCATCGAAACAACGTTTTCCAGCATGACAACGCCCGTGCCCACACCGCCAGAGTTACCCGGGACTTTCTACAGTAGAACGGTGTCAACGTTATGCTCTGACAGCCCTTAGTCCGGGCTTAAACCCGATTGAACATCTTTGGGATGAAATTCAGAGGAGATTTAATAACGTCGTACCTAGACCAAGCACAGCCGATGGATTGCTGTCAGGCTTTTCTGAGAGCGTGGTTCCAGGTGCCAATGGCGTTCATCCATCGACTGGTCAACTCCATGTACAGACGCTGCGCTGCAGTTATTGACACTCGCGGTGTACCGGCCCTAAACCTTCCCGTAATGTCTTGGAATTGCGATGAATTAATCACTAATGTGTCAACATACCCATTAGCCCAGTCGAAGCAAAACAGTAGGGCGTTAAACCCAATTTCATTTCATTTTCCCTCTTAAAGTGCGATTTACAGACTAGGACAAAATGATACTCTCTCTCTCTCTCTCTCTCTCTCTCTCTCTCTCTCTAGATGTTTACAGTATGTACAAAGTCTATCAATACTCTCTATATTGTAATATCTCCCTTTCTCAGGCTTTAGGCAATGGGAGCTTACTCTAAGTTTACAAATATCATTCTTATAATATATAGGATGTTTTAAATAAAACTGTATTCTGCATTCAACCTGATAACAACGTCTACTCAGCGTCTAAACACGGCTAAATCTATTTGTTAAGGCCAGCTCAATTTTCGTCAAGGACGCCGAGATGCAAATAAGGTTAGGGCACGTGATTGTTGGCGTGATTGTAGGTTAGGTTTAAGTATTTGGGGAGAGGATAATAAGTCTCCACATAAGCATTGACCTAGGATGATGAAAATTTAGTTCGTGATATTTCCTAGCTTTATTAAAAAGAATAAATACATACAATACATTGATTTTATATACAAATTTGTTTTGGCTGTTTTGGTTGTTGGTGGCGCTGAAGTTGGCCTTATCAAATAAATCTAACCTATATAGACTACAAGCACCGATTATCCAGGACAATCATGTTTATAAATGTAAAGACAAAAAGAAAAACAGAAGATAAAAAAGATGTTTGGTCATTTTATTTCAATTCTAGTTTTAACTGAAATACAAAGATAACAAACAATCAATGGTGAATCTAGATTGTGGGAGGAGACTAGGTACCCCCTCCCCGGCCCCTAAAAATTAAAGATACCAAACAATCAATAGTGGGTCTAGATTGTGGAGGGACCTTAGGCTCTCCCTCCCCGGCCCCTAAATAACAATATAGAATATTCACTTATTATATTGTTTCTATCGGATGTGTAGACTTAGACATTTTCTTGGTTGGAGATTGCCATAGCTGAATGTTATAATCGAGTCCAGATATGCGCCGGATATCAACACTAACATACCGATTTTAACGAGGTAACTTTCTCCTGCCAATGGGGGAGAGGGGGCGAATGGTTAGCGCGTGTGCGTTGTATCATAAGGTCTGTCATTGAGTCAACTGGCGTGGTTTCGATTCCCCAGTTGTACGTGACAAGGAGTAGGGTCCCCTGTCTAACCTTGTGGGTGCCGAAATGACCTAGTTTGCGTCGACTGAACGTTAAACCCATCTCTCCCTCTCTTGTTCTTGTTTAATACACTATTCGTCGTTATTTAGGGAGTGCCCATTGGTCAGTCTCGAATTGATAGAATTGCAATCCAGTGACGCACAATTCAATCCTATCACATTTCTCCCAGCCCCAACAATGGAGATGGTGTGCGGAATTCTTCAACAGAACAAATATGTTTCAGCTGTCATGGTTGGTTGGGATATGTTCTTATGCATGATGAGTTGTAGCCCCAAAAACAGATCCTATTTCGTTTTGTTTTGTTTTTTATAGTTCAAAATTTCGTTGATGTGACGTCACATGTAGAGGTCAGGCATCTTATACAGAGGTATAAGAAGGCTTTCACAATACCTCTATGAAACAGATTGTAACAAATCAGTAATATTCGGGAACTCTTGGTGAGGTTCCCAATTATTTTACTTACGTATAAATTCTTTCCCCGCATTTGCCATCCTCTTTCCTATGTCTTATATATTCCTCTTCCAAATTGTATTCACATTCACATATGTTCATAATACAAACTTCTTTCTCTGGCTCAGTACAATTACAGTCTAATGAACAAATACAAAATAATATGTTGTTTTTATATCTTGTTGTGGTCATGCATGGTTTCACTTAAATTGTTATATATTTGTCTTTATACTTGCCACATACAGTGCACTCTGTCACATCCGACATCGTACGGGATCGTTACAATATGTCGGATTACACAGAGTGTCGGAATACCCAGTTTTCTCAAAACCGGAAGTATTATTATAATGTAGCTTCGAACATAGAACTTCGAATCACCAGAATGTTATTCCCTTTAAAAATGATAAACCTTTCTTTACATTCAAAATTTTATTACATTAATTTTTGTTTCATTTAACATGCGTAGGCATTTTGAATAGGTCAAGTCTGTCGTTAATTTATCTTCTTCGCCGTCTTCAGTTGATCGCACTCTTGTCTTTGCTATCACGTGTTCATTGATAATGGGCGTCCTCGATTGAATGTTCTGGAATTGAATTCTCTCAATCCCAAAAATAGCGACTATCGAGTGAACATGGGTACTTCGGGCTACAACGCATGCGTCGACTGGATATATAAATATCTCATCCAACCATGCAGCTGAAACCTGTTCGTCGTGTTTAATTACGTCACAATTCTACTCACACCACCTCCATCGTCGGGACCGACTTCCCCGTCACTCGATTGCAAATCTGTCAATTCGGGACGTTACGGACTGTGACGCGAGCATCCCAGGTCGTCAAACGGTTCGAAGAGATCCGTAGGGTGACCAAACTTATAGGTTATTCAGGTTCAATCGGCATGCACAACGAATGTTTCCAACAGGTGCTAGGAATATTTTTACGACTGTGAATTCGTGGTAAATTCGTGGATATTCTTGAGTATTTGTCACAACCGTCGTACAAGAGATTAAAATTATCAAAGTAATCAACAAAGACCCGCGGTAGCGAGTTTTAATCTCACAGGTGATTGGTGATTGCTTGTTAATCTTTTGTGGCTTCACACCCACCCAGTTTTAATCTCACGGATAATTGATCGGTAAGTGTTTGCTTCACACCCACCGATTGCAGGCCGGATTATACAGTGTCGATTCAATGGAAATCGTATGACGGGACGGCTGATTGATGTCGTAATCCGGAACGTACAGAGGTCGAATTACTCAGAGATATTTTGGCTGATGTAATAAGGAAATAAATCGGGACATGAAAATGGTGTCGGATGTAACAGAGTGCCGGAGTTGAGAACATACGCTTCGAAACGTTGCCTGAGAGAGAGAGAGAGGGGGGGGGGTCGTGTATACGCTTATACGCTAGAAATGCCCTCTTTTAAACTTCTAATGTATATCTACTGTATAAAATGTGACCTCTGCATAGGTGCCGGTTTACATCCCGTGAAATTGACCTTCTTTGGAGAGAGAAAGAGAGATAGTCTCGGTCACCCAGAACCGTCTACTTTTCAACGTAAAGAGGGTCTGGGACCGTTGTCAATATTTGATGAAATGGTTCCATTGCCGATGTTGTAACCTGGAGTTATTTTTTATGTGGTTGATTATCCAGTCTGAGGAGACCCCACAAACGTCTAGTGGTTTGGACGGCCCAAATGCCGGGGTTATATGTGCACGTTAAGGAACCCTTGATCGTTGGAATTTGAAAGAAGGCTGACACCTCCCAGTCCAAGCAAAATTTCATTCACAGTTCATTGCGTATGTCCGTCATCAGTATACTGGTTTCTCGTAGCAGTAGAAAATGAAATGACATGAAATGGGGTTTAACGTCCTACTGTTCTGCTCCGAACTGGGCTAATGAAGACGGGCATACGCCATACAGTGTGCTATAAGGGGAATTTTGCCCGGGCAGCGGCACTACGGCCTACTCTTATATCGAATTCAAACTGTCAAGGGATCTTTTACGTGCACGCCAATGTGTACACGGGACCTCCGTTTTTCGACCCATCCGAACGACTAGACAGCTGTCCTTGTCAGGCCCTCCGTCCTGCATCACTGACAAGGGGGAACTACGCCAGCGTCTTTCCCACTTAGCCACGTGATCCCCTTCTCGTAGCAGTAGAACACGTCTGTCTAGATCTATTTGTTAAGGCCAACCCAAATTTCGTCAAGGTCGCTGAGATGTAATAAGGTTAAGGCACGTGATTGTTGGCGAGATTGTAGGTTAGGGTTAGGGTAAGCGTTAGAGCTAGGTCCAGGGTTAAAACCTGCAAATTTCGCCAACGTCTCGAGATCTAAACAAGGTTAGCGCTAGCCCTGTTTGCATATCGTGACCTTTGACCAAACTTGAACTCGCCGTAACAGACCGTTTCATTGGCTTATACCTCACTTCAACCAGAACGCCAGTAATATAACAACTCTTCCAGATCCTAGTGTAGTAAAAACAAGTAAAACGAAATTTTGAACTATAAAAAAAACGAAACGAAATAAGATCTGTGTTTTAATCAGGTTGGCAATAAATACAATTACTTACCTATTACACTGTACTTCTCACACTGGTCACCATGGAAATAACCCACGTCATCATAGGGGCACAAGGGATAGCTAGCTAAACATATTCCACCATTCAAAACGGTCGGGTAACACGGGTCTGTTGACAAAATATATTATTTGGAGAGAGATAGTCTCGGTCACCCAGAACCTCCTAGTCTTCGACGTAAGGAGGGTCTAGGATAGTAGACTGGAGAACCTGCTCTAATACGTCAGATTCGCTCCTACGTCACTCCTTTTCTGACTTCAAGTCAGAATTGCGCAGTGACGTAGGAAACAAGCCCGACGCCATTTAGAGCAGGTTATCCAGTCTACTAGGACAGTTGTCAATATTTGATGAAAACTTCCATTGTCCATGCGTAACCGGGAGTTGGTTTTGTTTTTTTATCCAGTATCTTTGTAGCAAGTCAGGTAAGGGTTGCGCCCCTTCCCGCAATAAATCCCATCATTCTTGCATTATTCTAAACAAGCATGAATCGTGACGATTAATTGGGATTAATTTAAAAACATAGATCTCGAGAGAGAAATTAGACACACCCACTTATATTTACTCCAAGCCCGTCCGTTTCTACCACACCTAAAGATCCAAAGACCTAAAGCGTATTATTGAAATTAAATTGTACCATATGTTAGTTTCGAAATGACCTCTCTCTCTCTCTCTCTCTCTCTCTCTCAGTTCAACACTAGGTAAAAATAATAGTTCCAAGAGACAGGAGTAAGACCGGAGTTCTCTCCTCTTTAGTTGGGCATCTAGCAACAGAAGATGACTAATGATTTTTCCACTGACTTTAATTTCAATTCTTGTCTATTATGTTCAATTACTAAATGCCAATCAAAGAAGACAGTTGTTTATACCTTGACAACAATATAAAAACAACTTACTGTAAGATGTGTGGTTGACACACAGTTCTCCAGAGAACCCGCTAGTTTCATTAAAAACACAGGCACATTTGTCTTCAAAGCAACGTCCGTTATTCAGGCATGGGCACCCTGTATAAAACGAAAAATCAAAAAGGAAATGGGGTTTAACGTCCTACTGTTCTGCTCCGACTGGGCTAATGAAGACTAACATACGTTATACAGAGCGCTATGAGGGACATTTTGTCCGGGCAGCGACACTATGGCCTACTCCTATATTGAATTCCAACTGCCAAGGGATCTTTTACATGCATGCCAGTGTATACATGGAATCTTGGTTTTTCGTCCTATCGAAGTGTCTGAATGACCTATAGCATTACAGAGAATGTGGAGAATCACTGACTGGGATGTCACGAAACTACCGGACAGCGGCGCTACGACATACTCTGATATCGCGGATTATTTTACGTGCAAGCGAATGTATACACCGGACCTCGCTCTTTCGTCCCACACCACTGACAATTTGATAAAGGGTAGACGGTTTTACGTCCGGAGCCAAATTTGGTGATATCGCAGACAAATTCTGTTGTTTGCCCGCCTATATATACTCTTCAAAAAACGTAGGGGATATTGAAATGCAAATACCTATGCAGGTTGCGATATGATAAATAGCCATGGACATGTGACATGCTTTGAGAGTATGTTCACAGATGAAGAACTTATCGACCCAGCAGAACCACTGAGCTGCACATGCGACATGCAATTAGCGCCATACACATGGGAGAGGTTCATTGTCAAATTTGACACTTCAAGGAAGGGTTGATGAAAACTGCCGCGTGCTGGTTTATCTATCCACGTTTGCTTTCCTATCGGTTCGTGCATAAGATTTACTGTTTAGCGTATCTTTGCTTTAGTGTGTTACGTTTAATTTGATCGGAAGACGTGTTCGTCGACGTCAACGTCAACCGACAACACTCCAAGAATTGGCCGTGGCACTGCAAGAGGAGTGGGTCAGATTGCCACAAATCGTGATTGGACGGTTGATTAGGAGCATGCCACGACGAATTGCTGAATGTCAGAGGATTGGTGGAGCAATTACTCATTATTAAGACAAAAATCAAAAACGTCCATTTTCACTTTTGACGGTCTATCTCTTTGAGAGTGAAATGGGGCCGTCAGATAAGTCGCCTATATGAACTGTTTATGTTCATGTGTAGGCAATTGGCCTGTTATTAACATGCACTGGTTACCTCTAATAAAAACAGCAGTGCATTTCTGCAGTTTTGTATTATTTCGGAACATCCCCTACTTTTTTTGAAGAGTATATGTCATGGATGCTGCAGCCCAGTGACACTGTTTTAATATATATATATATATATATTTAAATTCAACAAATATTGATACTGTCGAATTAACTCATCAGAGAGATAAATGGGGTTTAACGTCTACTCGATCCCCACTATGTCATTTCAGGACTAGGGGTTAGGGTTAGGGTTAACCCTAATCAGTCAAATTGATCTACTATGAACCAAGATTTTATCGACTGAATTTTCGGTCTAGCGTCGATCATTACTAGAGTCGGTACGAAAAAAAAACATAGTCTCGATTATCCAGTTCATGATTAAGTTTACATCATGAATGAAAGTTGAGCAGCAAAACGGATCCTAATCCAGTAAATATCGCAGGCTAGCGTTGACATTGAAAATTGATTATAGACTGGATAAGTTAATTAATAATTTAGAAAAAATTTCAGGCCTAAAGAAACACCTGCAATAGGCAGATTTAGCTCTTGCATAATGAATGTTTAATAAATGAAATAGGCTTTAACGTTCCACTTTTCCTCCCCGACTGGAATAATTAGGAGGAAGTCTGCGTGAATATAGACATATATAATTTTACCTGTATATGTTTCACAGTTGACACCTGTGTATTCCTTTAGACATCTACATTTACCTCCTAATCCACAGGTACCCCCATTTAAACAGCCACCCACGCATTCTGGTGAAAAAAATAAAATGTACAACAATAAAGGAGCTAAATCGCTAATATTTGGGACCTAGAAATTCACACAAATGTATATAAATATGAATGTTTATAAATTAATTTACATTCAATCGTTTCCGTTTTTACTCTAGCGTCTGCTTATTCCAGTATACATAGTATTTATTGCGCATGCTCTCCAGATAAGAATACACGTCACCGTTTGACATGACTTGTGAAATATGTCTAGCCTCGTTCTTCGAGTCTCTCCTTACAAATGGGATTAAAACGCATTATGGTACACGATTCGTGTACCAGTGGTAAAATGTTTACTTTGTCGTAAATATTGGATATCAGAAGGTCTACAGTTAGCCCCGCCTGAGAACGGGCCCTAACCTAATTGACCGTCATTTTAACTCCTACATCGACGATTTTAGTCGAAAACACCGAGTTTGCGTTTAGAAATTTTTAGAAGTATCTATTTCTCTTCTATTTTCATATTGAATGAAATTTAATGTGTTTATTTAGTCGCTGTGTGTATGAAAGATGTCAAACGGATCCGAGGCGAAGCACGAAATAGTCCACTTATTATTCAATATGGCGGCGCCCATAAAAGATACGTTCACAGAAGCGGCTTTGTATGCGAACACAAACTTAGGAGTATCTAACCTTGTTTTGAAAGATAAACAGATTGAAACTCTAAAGGCAGTTTGCAATGATAAAGACTGTATTGCAATATTATCCATTGGCACATATTATATATCGCTTTTACCGGAGTAGCAGAAGTCGAATTTTGCTAACTTGACATATTTGTTTACATAAAACACGTGCTTCGGATAAAAGAAAGCAGTGCAGGTCGGAAAGTCCCGCCCCAAAAGGATCACGTGAGCGTTTTAAATGGATGTCAATTAGGGCAGTGATATATTCTCGAGGTATGGATGGATCGCTGTGTTTAGAATGATCTTTTCCTTGTAAGATCACAACATAAATGTTGATTTAAATGGATGATATTGTGTCAGAGACTTAGCTATTTTAAAATATGTTATACTAGCAGGATACCCGGTTTCGATCGGGGGTCATAACTCCGAAATCGGAAGTGGTAGACTAACGCCACCTGGCCTATGTTACTCCCCGGTCCGAGCTACCCCTATACCCCAAATTTCAGACTTGGGGCAGACCTAGTGTAGCCGCTAACCCCGAACAGACAGACAGACACACAGACAAACAACAGTCACAAATATTAGTATAAGATTCCTTTGTCCATGTACAACTGCCATGTGGAATATTACTGGCAGTAGTGTCGGATCAGTACAACCTATACTAGTCGATAAGTTAGGAATAATTGGTACAGGCGTAACAGGCGTGTGGCTGCATACTTCGTTATTTACTAAGTAATCTAATGACGTCATTGTACTTTCAATGTACTTTTATTTTCGTAATACATACAGTGGCTTAGTGAAAAGAAAAGCGGAGTTTAGCGCCCTACTGCTCTGCTACGACTGGGCTAATGAAGACGGGCATACGCCATACAGTGTGCCATGAGGGAAATTTGGCCTGGACAGCGACGCTACGACCTACTCTCATATCGAGTTCCAACTGCCAAGGGATTTTACGTGCACGCAAATGTGCACACGTGACCTCGGTGTTTCGTCCCATCCGACCGACTATATGTTGTCCCTTATTAGGCTTCTGCCCCGCGCCATTGACAAGCGGGAATCACGCCATTCGACCAGACACTGTTCGAGGTCATAATGATCATCATCTGAAAAGAACCAGCCCGCAGCGTTATAGATAGAAGTCTCCTCAAGTTAAAATCTATTCGAGTTTGTTTTTGTTTTGGTTTTTTTTTTTTTTTTTTTTTTTTTGGGGGGGGGGGGAATGGCCGCATGGTTAGGGCGTTCGCGCTGCATTATAAGATCTGTCATTGATTCAACTGACATGGTTTCGATTCCCAGGTTGTACGTGACAGGAGCGTATGGTTGCCAGTCCAGTCTCGTGGGTTTTATTTGGTTCCTCCGGATTCCTCCCACTGCTAAAGACCCCTACGCGCAAGCGAATCATTGAAATAACAATGAACCATATGTTGGTCCCGAAATGACCTAGTATGTGTGGAGTGGACGTTAACACCACCCCCTCTCTCTGTCCCTGTCTCTGTCTCTCTCTATTAGAATCTGCGATTTCAACAAACACTTTTAAAAGAAATGAGAGCCAACTGGAAGCGTTGTAAATATAACATATACCTTGTAGGAAACAATCCGAGACACCTATTATATTGTGTGTAGAATTTGAGGTACACGAACAAACTCCAATACTTTCACATTTACCGCCATTAGTACATGGTGAGTAACATGGTCTACCTATAATATAATTGAAGGTTCAATAAATAAACAAGAGCCAAACAAGATTACAACAAACCCATCAGTAGGGACGCCTGTCCAACCTCGTGGGATTTCCCCGGCTCCTCCGGTTTCTTTCAACTGCTAAAGACCCCTACGCGCAAGCGAATTATTGCAATAATATTGAAACGAAATGACCTAGTTTGTGTCGAGTGGACGTTACCCCCCCCCCCCCGCCCCCCTGTTTTAAGAGAAAAGAAATTATCTATATATATATATCTATTTATCTATCTTCTATATATATATTTGTGACTGTCGTTTGTCTGTCTGTCTGTCTGTTCGGGGTTGGCGGCTACACTAGGTCTGCCCCGAGTCTGAAATTTGGGGTGTAATGGTGGCTCGGACCGGGGAGTAACATAGGCCAGGTGGCGTTAGTCTACCCCTTCCGGTTTCAGAGTTATAACCCCCGAGCGAAGCCGATGTGTTCGGGGTTGGCGGCTACACTAGGTCTGCCCCGAGTCTGAAATTTGGGGTAAAGGGGTAGCTCCGACCGGGGAGTAACATAGGCCAGGTGGCGTTAGTCTACCACTTCCGGTTTCGGAGTTATGAATCCCGAGCGAAGTCTGTCTGTTCGGGGTTGGCGGGTACATGTGGCCCGAGTCTGAAATTTGGGGTATAGGGGTAGATCGGACCGGGGAGTAACATAGGCCAGGTGGCGTTAGTCTACCACTTCCGGTTTCGGAGTTATGGTCCCCGAGCGAAGCCGGTCTGTTCGGGGTTGGCGGCTACACTAGGTCTACGCCGAGTCTGAAATTTGGGGTATAGGGGTAGCTCGGACCGGGGAGTAACATAGGCCAGGTGGCGTTAGTCTACCACTTCCGGTTTCGGAGTTATGACCCCCGAGCGAAGTCTGTCTGTTCGGGGTTGGCGGCTACACTAGGTCTGCCCCGAGTCTGAAATTTGGGGTATAGGGGTAGTTCGGACCGGGGAGTAACATAGGCCAGGTGGCGTTAGTCTACCACTTCTGGTTTCGGAGTTATGACCCCCGAGCGAAGCCGGGTATCCTGCTAGTATAAGATAAAACCGATTAGATGTTCATGTAGTAGCGACCATCAAAAGTTGTGAAAAACGAAACGAAATATAGATCTGTGTATCCTCATAGTTTTAATATTTTGGGGGAATCTGGTTGAGTAGTACAATGTTTCTATGACATTATTATAAGTAGTTGTATACTTTAACTTACCTGGCGATATAAACGTTTCACAGGTAGAGCCGGTAAAATAACTTACCTGGCGATATAAACGTTTCACAGGTAGAGCCGGTAAAATAACCAGTTTCTGTATAGGGACATAGACAGGTATTAAAAACACACGTTCCACCATTCTGACAAGGAGGCGTACACACTGCAAAATAGAGTTTTTTCCACTTTTTACAAGACAAAAGTTCAAACTGTTCCCTCATAATAGGATTTTTGTCTCACAGGCAAATATTGGTAGCACAATGTTCAAACTGTGGCTAAGTGGGTATGACGCTGGTTTGCTAGCCTTGAGGTCGGGTGTTTGATCCCTGCATTGGCCGAGAAAGTTCATTCAGATTTTCCGGCGTGGTTCTCCCTTGTCAGCGATGCAGGACGGAGGGCCTGACAAGGACAGCTGTCTAGTCGTTCGGATGGGACGAAAAACTGAGGTCCCGTGTACACATTGCCGTTCACGTAAAAGATCCCTTGACAGCTGGAATTCGATATAAGAGTAGGCCGTAGTGCTGCTGTCCGGGCACAATTTCCCTCATAGCACACTGTATGGCGTATGCCCGTCTTCATTAGCCCAGTTCGGAGCAGAACAGTAGGACGTTAAACTCCATTTCATTTCATTTAATTTCACTTCAAACTTGTCGGTTGGACAGGCGACCCTACTCCTTGTCACGTACATCGGGCGATTCAAAACCACGCCAGTTGATTTAATGACAGGCCTTATCATACAGCGCGCACGTGCTAACCATTCGGCTAGCCACCATTGCTATTATATTTTCTCACTTTATCAAAGGAACTGAAATGAAATGGGGTTTAACGTCCTACTGATCTGCTCCGACTAAGTTACGGGGTGGTATGACGGGACAATTTGCCCGCACAGCGGCGCTACGGCTTACTCTTATATTAAATTCCAACTAATAAGGGTTTTGATACCTGCATGCCAATGTGTACACGGGACCTCGGTGATTCGTGTCATCCGAGCGACTATACGTTGTTCCTTGTCAGGTCCCATGTCCCACACCACTCACAAGTGGCCTTGGCCTAGGCCTAGGTTAGGTTGGAAGACGGGAGATAGAGGTTAGCGAGCCAACGTCTTACTCACTGAACCACCACGGCTCCAGATATAAATAAATAAAACATGTAATATGTAATAGAATGATGGAGGGGAAAAGTATGGAAGGGTATCGCTGCCAATATTAAAGATATATTATGGGAGATTAGATAACGAGTTGGCTGTTCTCACTATAATAGTTACAAACTATATAATGTAAAGGCAATTTGCTGAAAATTTCATTCAAATTGATCCACTATGAACCGAGAACTAAGCGATTGAAATTTCCGCCTAGCCTCGATCATCATTACTAAAGTCAGTACGATAAACAGCATAGTCTCGATTATCCATTTAATCGTTAAATCGTGAAGGAAAGTTATGCAGTAAATCGGCTCATAATCCACTAAAGATCGCAGGCTAGCGCTGCCATCTAGAGTTGATAATGATCTGGATAAGTTAATTAATGTCTAATTAATAATTTAGATAACATTTCAGGCCTAAAGAAAGACCTACAATAGAGAGATTTAACTCTTGCATAATGTATGTTTAAATGCTCTGCTAAAATGTATTTAATATTGGCAGAGATACCTTTCCATAGAAAGGTAGGACGATATAATACAATGTGTCAATACATTCTAATTTGGTTCCTACACAGTTTCAAGGATAATGTCTGTCAGGCGTGTTCATGGTTCGATGTCTTTGTATGTATGGGAATTTGCTCCTTGCCATCTCCATAGAATGTAATCAGTAATTTGACGCCCGAGATTCCCTAATGGTCTAGACTGACGTTTCTCGGTCTTTAGCTGGTTGGGCATCCCTGGCTTGCGGTCGTGGTTTCGATCTCTGGTTTGAGTTTATAATGCTTGGAGATAGCAGCACCTTCTCAACCTCGTGGTTTTCTCCAACAGTAAGATCCCTGCGCATGCGCTGAATATTAATAATAAAGAAGAACAACTAATGTCCTGAATGGATTGATACAGATATAGCTTGTATCTTAAAACAGCTACCCGTGGCCCAAGTAGGGAGGCGGCGATTCTAGACCACTCGACCCCTTGCTCTAATAGAACCCTGTTTTTGCGCAGGCGCTTAGATACTTACGTGATAATGTTGAAGTATCATTATACGGACCTCATGGAGAACGGGGTGAAATTATATTAAATTATATTAAAGATACATTATGGGAGATTATATAAAGAGCTGGCAGTTCTCACTATAATAGTTAAAACAAGATAATGTAAAGGGAATTTGATGAAAATTTCAGTCAAATTGATTCACTGTGAACCGAGAATTTAGAGATCGAATTTTTGGCCTAGCCTCGATCATCATTACTAAAGTCGGTACGATAAATAACAGAGTCTCGATTATCCACTTCATGATTAACTCATGAATGAAAGTTGAGCTGCAAAACGGATCCTAATCCAATAAATATCGCAGACTAGCAATGACATCGAGAATTGATTATGGCCTGAATGAGTTAATAAATATCTAATTAATAGTTTATATACCATTTAAGGCCTAAAGAAAGACCTGAAATAGGCAGATTTATCTCTTGTGTAATGTATGTTTAATGTAAATGTTACCATATTCAAAAACAACACAACCAGGTCCATAATAGCCATAAGATGATTCTGGACATATGCACGCACCGCTGATCGTACATGTCCCTCCATTGTGACATGGTATATGACAGGATCGTGCTGCAAGTAATAAAAACACAGGGTTGCTAATATGGAAGACAATAACTACCATTCATAATTTCTACTTTTCGATTCTTCAGAACGCGAAAGTCGAAAAGTCGAAAAGTAGAAGTTACGACAAAATGTAAGGCGACAGCACGCTATACAAGCCAAAATCGACTCGAAAATAGGAAATGTTGAAATATATAAAACGAAACGAAATAGGATCTGTGTTTTAATAAGATTATAGGTAAACAGATTATATACGGATAAATAGCCGTTGTGAATTAATCGCGATGGCCATCAACACTGGGTAGTCTGTAATATGAACTCGGTAAACGAAGACGTTAGACAAAGTTATTTTACACGCCGGGAGCCGGTAACAGTGCCGCATCGAAAGTATTATTGACGGGCATGTAATCCTTACTGGGTCAGTCGGTTTCGGCCCGGTCAAACCACGTTCAGAATAGCTGAATATTTGAGCGTTATATATTTGTTTTTTCAAACGAGTGCATTGTCATGGAAACGAATATCTATGCTGCTGCTTACCATTTGGAATATAGTTTTGACATTGGCTCCCATAGAAATATCCTGTAGAAATAGCTGAGCAGTTACAGTAGGTCCGATCTGGCAGGTGACTTGCCAACAGGGAATTTCGAAGAAGAACACACTCGCCATAAAATGGTAAACATGGCGGATCACATAAATGGGCGTTTTGCTGATAATATTGACAGTGGTTTCCATGGTAATATCCAATTGACGAGAATGAACAGTTGCAGAAGGCTATACCAGTAGGGTGACTTGCTGATTCTGAATTTGGTAGAATAATACACTCTCCCTGGCTGGCTATACATGGCGGCTCACATGTAGCTGAAAATTAAGTGACAGTTTTTTCTAAAACAGAATGACACTTTTGTTTTTCAATACTTTGCTAGCGATTAGGAGTCTTTTAGCTGTGGGAGGAAACTGGAGGACCCGGGGCAAGCCTATAAGGCTAGGCGGGCCATCCTACTCCTTGTCGGGTACCATTTTGGGTTCGAAGGGAGAGAGAAATGGGGTTTAACATCCACTCGACACAAACTAGGTCATTTCGGGACTAACATATGATTTAATTTTATTTCAATAATTTGCTTGCGCGTAGGGGTCTTTAGCAGTGGGAGGAAACCGGAGGACCCGGAGAAAACCCATGAGGTTGGACAGGCGACCCCACTCCTTTTCACATACAACAGGGGAATCGAAACCACGCCAATTGACTCAATGACAGACTTTATGATACAGCACGCACGCGCTAACCATTCGACCATCCAACCCCCCTATTTTGGGTTTGAAACCACGTCACCTGACTCAGTGACATACCTTATGATCTAAAGCGTACAGGGGAGCCGCGTTGGGTCAGTGAATAAGATGTTGGCTCGCAGAGAGAGAGAGAGAGAGAGAGAGAGAGAAGAGAGAGAGAGAGAGAGAGAGACTAACATATGGTTCAATTTTATTTCCATAATTTGCTTGCGACCATACTCCTTGTCACGCACAACCGGGAAATCGAAACCACGCCAGTTGACTCAATGACAGACTTTATGATACAGCTCGCACGTGCTAACCATTAAGCCATCCAACCCCCGCGCAAACATAGAGGTCCCGGGTTCGATGCTGGTGTCGGCCGTGTGAGAGGGGAGGGGGGCTCAACCAGGACATAAAAGGAAGGCTAACGAGAATGGAAAGGCGACCCTACTCCTTGCCACTGTAGAATCTTCTACAAATAAGATAAATTGAAAGTACAGTCTATTTTTAGTAATTAGGTTTGTCGATTGGTCGATAAAAATAGCACAAACATCAAGAGCAGATAATTCATACTTACGGTCAGGGATAAATGTTTCGCACAAATCTCCAAAGTAATTCTTGGGACAATCACAGATAAAGGAGACATTTGAGCAGATTTTCTCTTGATAATTAGCCACACATTGACCACCATTCTGACAAACTTTTTCACAATTGGCTGTGAGATAAGAAGTTAATACAAGGTTCAATCTGATTAGAATACAGATCTATATTTAGTTTCGTTGTTTTATACTTTCGATGGCCTACACTACATGAAGATCTGACCAGTTGTACTCGAAGGTCGTGTCAGGGGTCGTACGAGCGGGTTTTGATCCTATGACGTCAGACATTGATTAATCAATCGACGTTGACGTTTGTAGTGGTTTACAGACAGTTCCGTGCATGGCACGCCAAGAGGTCGCCGTAACAGATGGGCTAATCCCTCACGCCATACAGACGTCAGACATTGATTAATCAATCAGCGTTAAAGTTCCGTGCATCTCACGCCAAGAATTCGCCGTAACAGACCGCCTCATTGGCTAATACTTCACATCATCCAGAACGTGGGTTATAAACTATTCCAGATCCGAGTGTAGTAAAGACAAGTAAAACGAAATTTTGAACTATAAAAAACGAAACAAAATAGGAACTGTGTTTTAATCGGATTGATAAAAGGTTAATTTGGGACCAACATGTGGTATTTATTGTCCGCGGGTTGATTGGTATATCAACATCTTATCATTACGGGTATCGAAAGAACCAGCAGCACCTACTGAAAGTTTTAGACATTTGGTAAAGGTCAAATGTCATGGTCAAAAGGTCAAGAGATGGTTGACCCACCACAATATGCCTAAGCCTAACCTGCGGTTCATACGGGCTAAATCTATTTGTTAAGGCTAGCTCAATTTTCGTCAAGGTCGCTGAAATGTAAATAAGGTTAAGGCACGTGATTGTTGGCGAGATTGAAGGTTAAGGTTTGGGTAAGCATCAGCGCTAGGTTCAGGGTTCGTGTTCGGATTAGTGCTACCTCTGTCTACATCTCGTGACCTTTGACCAAGCTTGAACTTGGCCTTAACAAATAGATCTAACCATTCATTCGCGTCACAGACAAACCTTCTGATCTACAGCGCGCACATTCGATACACTGACCGGAAGACGACAACTGCTGATGTAGTGACCGGAAGTCTACTGTTTCCGCTAAAATTTTGATCCAACTCACCCTGGAGTATGAACGTTTCACAGAATTCACCAGTGTAAGACGATGGACAATTACATGTTTGTTGAAAACCCGAACAAATTGAACCTGGAGTTGCAGCTTGAGATACAACACACTGACCACCGTTTACACAAGCCTTTTTACATTTTACTGAAACATAAAATATAATAATTACATTGACCTTCGGTTTAACCATCCTTGGTATCTATCCCCAGTGGTCTCACTCCGTTCTACTCTACTACACCCTGGGTTCATCCATGGATGGGGTATTCACTTATTCAAGTTATCTGCTCTTGATTGAAGCTTGAGTCTGCGAACCAATCAAAAACAGTTTACATACCAGTCTTAGCCTCATTGTTTACGATCACAACAATTTCTCTTGGCAATGGTGCTGACATGAATTGTGTATAGTCGTTCGCATGGTACGAAAAAACGATATCCCGAGTACTCTTTGGTCTGAAAGTATTAGGACTCTTGGCAGTTAAAATTCTTAGAAGAGTAGACCAAATCACCACTGCCTAAACAAGATTCTCCTCATAGCTCTCAGTATGGTAGGCGGTTAAACCTCCTTCCATTTCATTTTTATTGGTTTATGTAAATTACTGCTGGTAAAGCATACATAGAAATGAAATGACATGGAATGGAGTTTTACGTCCTACTGTTCTGCTCTGACTGGGATAATGAAGAAGGGCATAAATAGAGAGAGAAAAACCCTTGGCCTTTGAATTTAACTGCAGCCCGGACCAAATGTCCCTCATAGCACACTGCATAGGAGCATGTCTGTCTTCGTTAGGGCGATAAACCAGGAGGGAGGGCCTGACAAGGACAGCTGTCTAGTCTTTCGGATGAGACGAAAAACTGAGGTCCCGTATATACATTGGAATGCACGTAAAAGATCCATTGGCAATTGGAATTCGATATAAGAGCATGCGACGGTGCCGCTGCCCGGGCAAAATTTCCCTCATAGCACACTGTATGGCGTATGCCCGTCTTCATTAGCCCAGTATAGGAGCAGAACAGTGGGACGTTAAACCCCATTTCATTTCATTTCAGGACGTTAAACCCCATTTCAGTTATTAATTCACGAAATATCAAATAATAAATAATTAATAGAGACATCATACTTGCTTGTTGAATTTCAATTCCTTTAACAACCAATATCCACACAGATAGGACCAATATAACAACTATAATTCTGGAGGTAATCTGAAACACCAATACACGGGACAATCGTTATACACAATACAGGAGGCATACAGAACAACCATTATACACAATACAAGGGCATACAGAACAACCGTTATACATTATACAAGGTCATACAGAACAACTGTTAAACATTATACAAGGGCATACAGAACAACTGTTATACATTATACAAGGGCATACAGAAAAACCGTTATACACAATACAAGTGCATACAGAACAGTCGTTATACATTATACAAGGGAAATACAGAACAGCCGTCATACACAACAACTGTTATACACAGTATACCAACAGAAACCTAATACTACATGTAATAATACTACATCAGGAGTTCCATGGATTCGATACCGGTATACCTTGCTGATTAACTACCTCTGGATTTTCATGCTTGGCCATTGGTCAGGGGTGCGGAGGTGGAGGGTCTGGTCATCGGTCTGAGATACAGGTAGGCCGTGGTGTGAAATTTCTAGCTAGCTTGCTTCTGTTTCTCCGTCCCGACCATTTTCAGGTGAAAAAAAAACTACATCATCTAATTCTTCTAGTATTACTTTGTAGTGTCACACAACTTTTATTTTATCAATTCTTTGACGTTTGATAGAAAACGTAAATTAAATATGGGCTTACTTGTCAATGTGCAATGGTATTTGAATTTCGCGGTGACTCGGTAAAGTAAAACTGCATAGCCCGTGTACATTTTGTTAAAACACTGAGCTAAAACCGTTCACTGCGACAAGCTTGGAAAAATTTATGGTATGTGCTAACCAGTGGTTCAAATTAGATGGAAATGTGCCGGAGACAAATGCCGATTTGCTGGACAAAGCTGAATCTGGACTCCAAGGCAGGAATGTGCAGACAAAACTCTCACTGGACTGGGGTATGGTGGAGGCTACTAGGCCTACTTTTCACATTCCACGTTACCAACGTTAACAAAACTGTGTATGAAACATGATCACGATTTCTAAATTGTTGAAGAAAGTGATGTTTAGAAACAAGCAGCAAAAAAAAAAGAGAAAGAGAATAAAATAATAGGTCTGCTTAATTTGTTTAAGGGGATCGGATCATATCTTTACATTTTCCCCATTTTCTTACAAATGCAAGCTGATGAAGATATTCTCCTAAATGCATGACAACCCAGACCAAGGACTACTCTGCCCAAGACCACTCAGACCAATAGAGAAGTCCACTCAGACCAATAGAGAAGTCCACTCAGTCAAAGACAGAAGACCACTATGGTTAAGACTGTGTCATCATTATTGAGGTGAAATACAATGTGCAGTACTCATACCCAACAAGTTGTTATGGAGAGAGAGAAATGGGGTTTAACGTCCACTCGACACAAACTAGGTCATTTTGGGACTAGCGTATGGTTTAATTTTTTTATTTCAATAATTCGCTTGCGCGTAGTGGTCTTTAACAGTGGGGGGAAAGGGGGGGGACCCAGAGAAAACCCACGAGGTTGGACAGACGACCCTACTCCTTGTCACGTACAACCGGGGATTCAAAACCATGCCTGTTGACTCAATGACAGGCTTTATGATACAGTGCGCACGTGCTAACAATTCGGCCATCCAACCCCCATGTTATGGAGAAAATTAGTGACAGCCAAACATATGCTGACAGTGACATTGATTTTAATAGTGATGATGATATTGATGAAATTATGTGAGTAGGCCTACACCTGTATCCTGTAAGCGGTTTTTAAATGTTACATATTTTAAATATTTTAAATATGTTTTACTTAAACGTACTGTACATGTCAATAAATTTTCATATTATATTTTGTCACTTTATGCTTACTATATGTTTTTATTTTACTTTTTTTATTCTAATTCATTTCCGACGGTTTCCTCTTGTCAGTGGTGCAGGCGGAGGGCTGACAAGGCACAAGGAACAGCAGTCTAGTCGAAGTCCCGTGTATACATTGGTGTGCACATAAAAAGATCCCTTGGCAGTTGTAATTTGATATAAACGTAGGCCATAGTGCTGTGCCCAGGCAAAATTTGCTTTATAGCACACTGTATGGCGTATATGCCCATCTTCATTAGACCATTTCATTTCTAATTCATTTTACTAGAACCATTTTACTTAGGTAATTACTGTTTGTTTTTCTCTTATATGTACTTTTATTTACTGGTTGGTATATATCTTTCAATTTTGTACAGTGTATATGGGCACAAGACCTGATCTGTGTGTAAATACATGTATTCTGTGAATATAAGAACCTGAACATCACATTAGAAACCGTTCTCCAGTATTAATACATTTTAAAAAATGATGATGTTATTATTATATACATTTTTCATTAATACTAGTGGTGTATGGTATTGTTGTGTACGAGGAAATTTATATAATTTCATTTGTTTATTTTTTAAAATTTCTTTCTTTAAATAAATGTAATCTTATACTCTCTTATAGGGGGTTGGGTAGCCGAATGGGTAGCATATCATATGTTCTGCCATTGAGTCCACTGGCGTGGTTTAGATTCCACGGTTGTACTTGACAAGGAGAAGGGTGGCCTGTCCAACCTCATGGGTTTTCTCCAGGTCCTCCGGTTTCCTCCCACTGCTAAAGACCACTACACGCAAGCGAATTATTGGAATAAAATTGAACCAAAATTACCTAGTTTGTGTCGAGTGGAAGTTAAACCCCATTTCTCTCTCTCTATACTCTTATAATAAGTCTATTGTTTTCTCGTTTTAAAAAAAATAGTAAAATTGATGAAGTTGAATTATTATTAATTGTATCGATCAGATCACATGGTATTATTATTTTTGTTTTTTCTTAGCATTATATATAAATATAAGACCGAACCAGTAATTCAAGCATGCCAAAATCGTTTTCATCTGTATTAAGTAGATATTTCTCTTTACTCTTAGATATTGTTTCCAGAAAATAAAAGATTCATTCAATCATTGGTGCTATTTCCTAATTATTTGCCATATTTTTGCCACAGATCAGGGGTAAGTCGTCTTTACCGTGTCAGTGCAACATTTAACAGGTGGTATTATCCTGTAATCCCGGCATATTTGCAGAGAAATACTCTCAGACAAATGTAAACAATCCAACGTGTTCCGTCTCATAAAAGGTATTCACTGGCACTGTCACTGGTCTATTTATGACTATTGACCCTTGACCTATGACGATCTTTGCTTTTATGGTTTCTGATTGGCTTAGAATTTGATTTTTTCACCCGATTATGGCTACACTTGACAAATATAGTTCGAGACGTAATTCGAGTGCAAGACGTATTGTGCAATGCATCGGAACAGAAAAGTATGCGACAGTGACGGCCTACTGGTTAAATTATGTAACAAAGCGTCAGATTTTCACCCGGAATTTGCTGGGACGAGATGAAACGATTTTCGGGGCTAAATCACAGCCTAAGGGTGGAGGGCCCAGCCATCGGTTAGAGATGCGGGGTGGAAGCCTAGCCATCCGTCTGAGGTGCGGGTTAGAGGGCCTGGTGCGGGGTAGAGGGCCTGGTCATCGGTCAAAGGTACGGGGGCGGAGGGCCTGGCCATCCGTCTGAGGTGCGGGGTAGTGGGCTTGATCACTGGTTAGAGATGCGGAGTAGAGGGCCTGGTCATCGGTCAAAGGTACGGGGCTGGGGGGCCGGGCCATCAGTCAGAGGTGTGGGGTGGAAAGCTTGGTCATCGGTTAGAGGTGCGGATTGGAGGGCTTGGCCATCTGTCAGTGGTGCGGGGTAGAGGGTCTGGCACGGCACAGCGTCTTTTCTAAAAAAATGAAATATTTACAGACCTTGGAAAATGATCAGTGAAATCGGGTTTAACGCCCTACCGTTTTTGCTCCAACAGGGCATATGAAGACCGGCATACGCCATACATCGTGCTGTGAGGGATATTTTGCCCTGACAGCGGCGCTATGGTCTACTCTTACATCGAATTCTAATTCTTTACGTGCACACCAATGTGTACACACAGGACCACCGCCCTGCGCCACTGACTAGGGGGAGGGGGGCAGGGTGGAAACCCCGATGAACTTTCTCGGCCAACGCAGGGATCGAACACGGTACTTCCAGGATAGCGAGCCAACGATTTACTCACCGAGCCACCGTGTCTCGTGTGCACGTATAAGATCTCTTGACAGTTTGTATTTAATGAATAGTTGCCATGGTGAGGTAAACAGCATATGCCGGTTTATGTGTATAAAAAAATAAAACGCTAAACCAATTTCACGTGTCACAGCCACCATTAAATTCATTAACAGTAGCGCACATATCATCTTAATTAAATTAATTAACAGTAGCGCACATACACTGTACGATATCATTTCAATTAATTAACAGTAGCGCACATACACTGTACGATATCATTTCAATTAATTAACAGTAGCGCACATACAGAGAGAGAAATGGGGTTTAACATCGACTCGACACAAACTAGGTCATTTCGGGACTAACATATGGTTTAATTGTATTTCAATAATTCTCTTACGCGTAGAGGTCTTTAGCAGTGGGAGGAAACCGGAGGAGCCGGAGAATACCCATGAGATTGGACAGGCCACCCTAATCGGAACCACGTCAATTAACTCAATGGCAGACCTTATGACACGCGCTAACAACCACACGATGAAATCTTAATTAAATTAATTAACATTATAATGCAATACACGATGAAATCTAAGACGTTTAGGACAAAACACTTACCATCTTGACAATTCTTATCAACAACAGAAAATATGATTTTCAGGCTTGTTAATCTTTTATATACATGTACTTCAATACTTTACATTAAAGGTACCCTTCCTACAATTTCCGTTTTCCTGTGTATATATATATACCCGTTATGTTTGTTGTTTAAGATTTTATAATATTACCTTTAACTTGTTGATACCAAAGATCTCAAAATACCAGGTGACAAATGCACGTGTTACATGTATATAAATTATAATGATAAATATGTTTTAACAAAAGCATTCATTAATCTATATTCGTGGTTGGATGGCCGAATGGTTAGCACGTGCGCGCTGTATCATTAGGTCTGTCATTTAGTCAACTGGTGTGGTTTCGATTCCCCGGTTTTATGTGACAAGGAGTAATGTCGCCTGTCCAACCTCGTGGGTTTTCTCCAGGTCCATCGGTTTCCACACACACTGCTAAAGACCCCTACGCGCAAGCGAATTATTGAAATATAATTGAACCATATGTTCGTCCCGAAATGACCTAGTGTGTGTCGAGTGGAAGTTAAACCCATAAACAAAGCCCTTACTAAAATTATCCGCAATAAGTATTCGCTTGGCTGCTAATATCACCGAGAGAGATGACATCGGTGCGAGTTAATTGTACACGTACACGGAAGCGTAAAATGAGTTTGTATTTATTACGTCCGATGCAAACAACGAACGTGCTATCAGCGCCATATTTCTGCTGTTGGTAAACATTAGGATGTGCCGTCACACGCTGAACTTTACTGGACGTTACCTTAAAGGTCAGTCATCTTTCACAGAGTAGAGAAGTTTCGCATAAGAGGAGTGACGCGGTTTCAGGGGCGGGTCAAGAATAGGAGCGGGGGCGGGGGGTGAACTTTCGCATAAGAGAAGTTACGCAGTTTCAGGGGCGGATCCAGAATAGGAGCAGGGGGAGAAAGAAAACTTTCGTATAAGAGTAGTGACGCAGTTTCAGGGGACGATTCAGAGTAGAGGCGACGGGGGGGGGGGGGGGGGTGAAAGAAGAGGTTCGCATAAGAGTAGCGACGCAGTTACAGGGGCGGATTCAGAGAAGGGGCGGGGGGAGGGGTGAAAGAAGACTTTCGCATAAGAATAGTGACGCAGTTACAGGGGTGGGTCCGGACTGGGGGCGGTGGGGGGAGGCTCAGCTACGTAAAAGAAATTGTAAAGCAACAATTTTATGAGAAAAGTGTAACGGTCGTGTGCTCTATCTTCTATCATCATATGGTGGGATGGGATTGGCATTCAAAGCGAGAAATAATGATAAAGAAATGTGTGATATCACAATTAATGCTTTGCATCAATGAAATTAAATCACAATGTGATCCTATTAATTCATAATAAAAATTGACATCAAACGGGATGTTGGATTTCTCTTTTTAAAAAGCTCGGTGTGTATGTATGCCTACATAATTTAGAGACGAAGATGGCATTATTGTCAACTGTCAGATTTCTATTACAGGAAGCTCCCCCCCCTCCCCCACCTGCAAAAATTCCTGGATCCACCCCTGAGTTTGCCCACCATACGTTGAAGACTCGGAGATGTCGTCTTTCCTTTTCATTCAATTCGTGAACAGCTCTTTTTATTGGTCAAGTATGATCCAATGACAATCGTTGTTTACATATTTTCCTCCATTAATTATTCTGGATGTGAATATCGACAGCGTGCGACTTCCTTTAAACAGAAATTACTCATATAAATAACTGACACTATATATTGTGATTAATATTGGCAAAAACTCAATAACATCTCAAAACATTTTCGAGTTTGGTGGCGGGGTGGCGGGGGACGAATGGGCTAACACGAGCACTTTACATCATAAGGTCTGTCATTGGGTCAACAGGTGTGGTTTCGATCCAACACATGTACGTGACAAGGGTAGGGTCGCCTGATTAACTTCGTGGGTTTTCTCTGGGTGCCAGGTACCCCCTACAGCTAAAGACCCCTAAACGCAATCGAATTATTGAACTACACTTGTACCTTATGTTAGTACCAAAATATCCTAGTAGCTGTTGAGTGGACATTATCCCTCTCTCTCTCTCTCCCTCCATAGTAAGGGCAGGAGGAACTTCCCGTGCGTTTCCCCAAACGCAATCCAGAAGACATTCACATTATAAATATATGTGTAGTGATTTGTCACTAGAGACTTATTTAAAACTAGAGATTGTAGAGTTGTATCTACAGATTTACAAGTAGTGATTTACAACTAGAGAACAGAGTCAATTACATATTTACCTGGTGTGTAGATACCAGAGTCGCTTTTATTAACATCATACCACCAACTATAATATAAAATCTTCTACAGAGGTCGATTCACCGGGTCAGGGTGTGGTTATGTTCATTAATACTTCTGGACAGGTGCTATATGGCAGACGATATTTGTTATTTAATACGTGGAAATCTGGTACCAATTCTCTATTGGGTAATAATGTTTTGGTAATTTCAGTACACACGGGTACTAATGAAGTTTAGGTTTCAGCAAGCATTGGTACCAATGGTTCCTGTGTTCCAGTAGTTACCGGTACAATGATGCTTCTGTTCCACATGGCACTGGTACCAATGTTGCTTGTGCTTCAGCAGGCACCGGTACAATGATGCGTGTGCTTCAGTAGTCACTGGTACTAATGATGCTTGTGCTTCAGTAGTCACTGGTACTAATGATGCTTGTGCTTCAGTAGTCACTGGTACTAATGATGCTTGTGCTTCAGTAGTTACTGGTACCAATAATACTTGTGTTTCAGATGGCACTAGTACCGATGATTCTTGTGTTTCAGATGGGACTGGCACCAATGATGCTTGTGCTTCAGTAGTCACTGGTACAATGATACTTGGGTTTCAGTAGTCACCCAACCCATCAACATGCTGCTTATTCCAATTATCTCACCTGTTATATTCATCTAGTGCAAGTAGATCATCTTTTTGAAATGGCAAATCGTCTGTATTCATTCCCATAAAATCATATAATGCTCGTACAATCTGTTTTTTATAAGCACAATATTTATAAACATTTAAAATCGCACATAGCTCTTGAGAACCATCGCAAAAATGTCAACGCTTGTGTCCAAACGGAACTAGCTGGTTTGAAAATGAAGGACTAAATATCGGTTTTTCATGATTTAAAATTGCTGATCCTGGAAATATGTCACCAATATCTTACTCCGTCCGTGCGGATAGGCAGGTGTGTGAGTTGGTCGAGATCTATCCGTGGTTTATTCGTTCGGACGCAAGTGTTGAAATTTTGCGACAGTTCCTTAGCATCTGCTAATTTTCGGTAATAAACATAACAATGAATAATATAACATCCTACTAAATCAAACCTCTGTTGACTAAACAGCTCTTATCATCTGTTGACTAAACAGCTCTTATCTTTGGAGTGAAAACCGTCTGGACCTGCAGTAGCTCAGTGAGTACGAATGCTGGATCGCTGATCAGGAGGTTTCGGATTCGCTCCCGGTGTTGACCGAGAAAGTTCCACGGTATTTTCCGGTGTGGGTTTCCCTTCAATGGTGCAGGATGGAGGGCCTTGTAGGAACCCCGTCTAGTGGTTTGGATGGGACAAAAAAAAACAATCCCGTGTAAATTTTAGCGTACACGTAAAAGAATCTTTGACGGTTGGAATTCGAAATAAGAATATGTCGTCAGGGAAAAATTTCCCTCATAACACATTGTATGGCGTAATGCCAGGTAACCACTACTGTGCCACCCTGCACGTTTCAAGTCAGTAGCTTGAAGCGTATATATGGTATTAGTGTCAGTGGCTTGTGGCACGAAGTAACAGTATATTGTCGCATACATAATATATTATGTCAACGCTTGGGCGACATAATATATTGTGTTGACGCTCCAAGCGTGTTAGCATATTAGACCTGTAGACTCAGTGGAATGTACGCGTCATCAGAGCGGATCCAGGGGTTGGACCATGGGGACCGGTCCACCCCCTTAACAATAGAAAGTGTCCCTGTAAATAAAAGAGGGCATCCTTATCAGAAAAAGGGCACCTGTGATGTCAGAATTTCAAAAAAGGGCACTTTTCTTTCGGATTAGGGTTAGGGTTAGGGTTAGGACACAGAAAAGAGAGAAAAAACAGAAAAGAAAAAAACAATCGAAACTTACCGATTTCATGATGGAAAATACCGCCAAAATTTGTCTCCAAAGCATTCATTGGTTATCAAAGCGCCAATTAAATCTATCGTTGCAAGTTCATGCCTAGTCACCTCCATCCTAGTTCCAAGCGTTGACATAATATATTATATCGCCCAAGCGTTGACATAATATATTATGTATGCGACAATATACTGTTACTTCGTGCCACAGGCCACTGACACTAATACCATATATACGCTTCAAGCTACTGACTTGAAACGTATCGCCTGACTGTGCGATGAGTTACAATAGGATTGTTCCTATTGGGTCTACGATCAGCTAAGTGCAGATACGTTCGGGTATATTACGATACGATCAACACGATTCCTACGACTGACCTCAATGTATGGTAAGACCTGGTAGGATCACCATGGTAACTCCACGATTAAAAACATGATTTCAATCATACCACGAATCATGACAGTGTCTCCTGTTATAGGTGTAACAACTTTATAAATTTACTTCCTCCGTCTTAAAACTTGCAATTGAATATATACATATTCTTATAGACATTCTTCATATTATAATATATATGGTGTATTGTTAATATCCTTCGGGGCTGAAAGGAATTGAATATATGCCAGTTCTATTGATCCTATAGGCTGTCGTCAATCACATCATGCGTCCTCATTTCTAAAACATATACCTTTATACAAGCTTATCCAGGTTATAACTTTTAATGTGAAAGACTGTTCATGGTTAACGTAACAAAACGAAATTAAACAAATGATATCATTTTGTAATAATAAACCGTGATACATGTTTGATTGTGTGGACTCAAAGGTATAACTCACCCCCTCTTCTCTAAAGATACTGACAGACGAAATAATTAAATTATATATCACAGATTATAAAACAATATTGTAATTCTACTGGCAGAACCATACATAATTTACTGCAAGC